ATGTATGCAGAAATAAGGTCAATAAAATCAGACACAAAATAAAAATTTGTGTAAAGTATTAAATATTAATTACATGTAACGTTACAATGAACTTTCATTTGATATTAACACTCATTTGACTGATAAGTGTTTTGTTTGAATACTTTAAATATAAAGACGTAATTCTAAAACAATTTGAAACGGAGCAACAAAATGTATACATTTATGTCATTTGCAATTATTTGTATTTTTGTAGGTTGGTAAAACACTTTGTGAAAAAAACAGAACATATTTTATTCAACAATGTTAACTTCAGAGGGTGGCTAATAATCTTAGTAATTTCAAGGGTCAAAGTCAAACTTAATGACTAATAATAAGTATAGTAAATAGTAAGAATAATTTTACAGTCAGCTTCTTGTGGTGAATGAAATAAAATTGTGTTCCTATTGTTTTCAAGTTACGGTACTCAAAATTCAATGTCATAATGATTTTGTGGTTAAATCCTATTTTCGTTCATCTTTATTTTATTTCAAAATTGTTTGGGATGAATATGATTATTTTTTAAACTGTGGGTCTCCCCCAATTGTGACCAATGAAGATTTGAAGTTTACAACAACATCTTTTTGATCAACGGCCTCTTTTATTTGTGATAAAGGATACGTAACAGACCATTATTTTCTGGTATATGAAAGTTTGTATTTGGGAACGAAATTCAATTATTATTGAATTATTTTTTTTAGATTAATTCTATGTAGGCTAGACCAATAACTTGATTGTAAATTTTAAGATCATTCGCTCACTCCGTTTTTCTAGAATAATTATTTGACTTTGAAAAATTACCCAAACTTTAAAAGCGTTCGAATGCTTTTCTCTCAAATCAGGCTAATAATTCAAATTTTATGTTTTTAGGCTTTTGGACCTGAGTGAAGTTTTTTTAAGAGATTTCACTATAAAATACACTAATATATTGCCAACATTGAAAAATCCTTGACCAGACTGACTGTATATACTGTAGACAAAGGCTAATCACTTTCATAGGGTAAAGTCAGATATACAAATTAGCTCAGAGTCACACTGTTTTACACTGTAGAAACAGTATTTTCCTATTATTTGTATTCGACATACTTCCTTAAAACTTTCTTTCTTACTCTCTTTCTAAAGCATTACCAAACTAAATTTTAAAGTGCGATATGTTTTGACGTCTGTTCTCATTTGTACTACACTATATGGGGTTGTCAAACAAATTATTTTAAGTTTACAAATCATTTCATTTTTACTTGTTATCCAATTTATTTTGCTTCGACCAGACATTTCAATCTTTGTCGCAACAGACAAACATTTCAGAATTTCAGACATGGCATTTCTTTGTGAATTTTATGCATTAGGTTCTACTTTTTCACAAAAATGTTCAACTTTATTATTATAAAACAACGAGCACATATTAAGAACATGGAGAAAAATTGATCAGTGCTTCGGAAGAGAACGATTTTCAATGCTGATTGACTGTTCACATCATTTGGCGGCGTCTTTGATGTGCAGCATCAACATTTAACTTGTAGAAACATATTTTTATCCCGATAATTGAAACCAAAATATGTTTTCTTCATGCGGCAAAAGTTAAATCAGTTGCCATAAGAACAGATCATATTTTATTACACATTAACTGAATAGTTTTCAGTGTTTAACAAAGTACATTACACGAGTATATTAAGATATTTTAATGATTTGTTTGTTTAGTTCTTACGCCGATTTCTAGACATTTCCTGGATAAATTACCAGTATTTCAGTTGTTCTCCGCAAGTGACCGACTACTAATCTCACATGATTTCTGAATCAGAGATCGGAGACAAATGATTCAATTGGAGAAAATTTGCCAGAAATGAAAATACATTAATAGGAATATGAAAGTACAATATAATGAATATATTAAAGAATGAACTGTTTTTCTTAATAACGTCATGAGCAAATACAAATGCAATGTTCTTCAAGTGGCTGGACAAGTGCAAAAAAATTGAAACATTCAAGCTGCATGTTTCCAGATGAGCCAAAATATTTCATGCATATCAAACTGAAAAAAAATGTACTAAGATTTTAAGAAAGGTTTAAAGATTCAAGGTTCAAGTAATTATTTACATGTGTGGGATTTTTTTACTGATTTGGCAGTATTTATCACCTTACTTCGACTCCTTGACTAACGCAGCAACGGTAATATTTGCATATTCTGACCTAATTTTTGTAAATGTGTATTGTAAGTACCATTTGCAATGAGCCAATTACTGTTTTGCACAATGCACAATATTTCACTTTTAAATACATTTTCCAACTTTAATGAAAGTAAAAATGAAACTTGATACATGCTGCTTTAAAACAATTAATGTAATTTTTTTTAATAAATACATTACAGAACGATTTGAATTTTAGCTTGCCACATTTATTGAATTAGATTTCTCATCTTTAAAACCTCTAAAAATATTACTCTTCATAAGTAGTTTATGATAGCATAACAAATAAAAAAAACAACAACAACAAAAAAACAATGATATCTCACAAATTTTAGGAAACAATTACATGTACAGTTTACTTAATTAAGATAGCCCTTCAAATATAAAGGCCAATTTTTGATAACCCAACATTGATAAAATGAAATGAAGTTACCTACAAATGAAGACCGTTTGTAGACCATTTCCTGTCTCTCATATCGGAGGATTTAGTTCACAGGTTTAACTGTCTAGTCTATATAATCAAAATAGGCCTCAGACCTTTCAATTATTTCAAGCGAAACCTTATTCAAAAAGGAGTTCTTTTCAGAAGCGCTATTTGAAAACTTGGAGGCTACCTATTTATGACATGTTGGGCTATTGGTGATGATCAAAGAAACATCTCTGTCAGATAGGCGTTAGTTCGCCAAGCGATTTCTTCTGTATATAAACCCGATGTATATATACATAAAAACAACTTATTCCAGAGACCACTTTAAGTTCTCATTTGTCCAATTTCGTTGTAAAAAGTTTTTGGTGCAAAAAACCAAATTTAACGAGAGCTACATGCAGTATATAAGACGAGTTCTTCAGTGGCTACAATTTGTTTCAGTGTTGTACCCGATAGGTAACAGGGTAAACGGAAATGAACAAATGTTGCCCGTGCATTAAACATCTTATAAAAGATCTTTGAAATTTCAAAAGTTAAAATTAGACAAAGCCGGCCGGCCAGTTGTGAATTATACTCAAATATTACGTGACAGTTATTTCTAAATAACGGCACTCTTTGGTTATACCTTTATCCACCACAAATGCAGATCAAAATCGATTAACATATGCAGGAGCACCCCTTCCAGTTTTCTCACAGCAAAACTTTGAATGACTCCCATTTTCCGTTATCGGTTCAATTTTGTTAATTTATAAAACAACTTCAAAAGCACTTAAGATTTATATCAATGAGTCTTGACCCAACAGCCGATGGATCTATAAGCATATATTAATGTCGTTATTATGAAAATAATACATTGCTGAATCTTAAAATCGTAATATTCATTTGAATACAAACTGACTGTTGAAGTCTTACATAAGTTTTTTATATTTATATTATTTAGACCCGTTTACTGTGGACATAGAATAAATACCCTTTTACATCGATCAGCATGACAAAATGGCGTCACATTCGGCTGATTTGAAAAAAAGATATCGCTGCGCTATTCTCAAACTGTTGCTTTTGTCACAGAGCAGGTGAAAGCCTTGGTTAGGAGAATCAAATGAAAGGTTTAGACGATTCATCCAAAACTATATCTATCATGAAAGAATGGACACATTCAATGAACTTTGGGTTCAATTTCTGTTAAACACTACCAGTTCTTTGATTTCGAATTTCTTTTCGCTTTCGTATGATGATTATTTTCACAGGGAAGCAGAACACATACGTGACTATCACAATTTTATGGCCGATTCAGATTCAAAGTTAAATAATAAAAAATAACAAGAGTTTAAAGATTATAATTTATCAGTACAAGCAAATATAAACAAAGAAAGATAAACAAAACACACATATCTGTACAGCTGCATCTTAGTGTTGTCATCAAATACTTTTGCCTCTTTCAGTACGTTGTCATTTGTTGACGCAATATAAACACTTAATTTAATACATTTACCAATCATAAAGTCAAAGACTTTGTTAAGATTTAAGAAATAAAGAAAAGATTCAAACATCTGCAATATAATGCTTCATCATTGAAATCGCCCCTGAACTTTCATATCGTAAGATATATTTGATAAATGTATGTATATAAGTGAGTCGGGTGTAATAACTTGATACATTGTAACTTACAAAACATAATGATAATGAAATAAAATACTTTATTAGCTTGATTTACTACGAGGTTTCTTCAAATAGCTTTGCTTAGTCAATATTAATACTTGGTCATTATAGATTTCGTGCAAAATTAACGAACAATTTCATAGCTTGAGTTATTAATGAATTTGCTTACATGTATATGCATATGTTTTCATGCTGTCAAAACAAAAGGCAATAAGCACGTGAAACTAAATGCTACTGAAGTACAAACAAAAATCATTTTATGCAAAATTTCCGAATTTCAATTTCAGTTTTGCCATTATGATATTTAAAAATAGAATGAAGTTTATTTTTAAACGGCACCCTCACTTAAATATATAATTTACTGTTCTTCGAGTTCCACTGTTTAGATCATGACGGCCAAATGTCACAAGTAAAGGGCAATACTTATATCAATGGCGTCGATAAAGATGCAGTGTTGGTACGTGTATATTTTTAACTTGCAGATCAAAACACAGAGAGTTTCCTGAAACAGTGGGGAATAAACCCACCATTCCCTATCATGTAAAATAAATTTCTCTAAAGAATTTTGTATACTTGATTAAATTAGTTTTAAATTGTCTCTGTCTACAGTGACTACTATACTTAGTCTTGCATGCTGTGCATCGTATCTATAGAGAGATTAGATGTGATAAACAAAGTAAGAATGAAAATGATTGTGTCTGAAAGGAGTGCACTCAAACATATAAATATAATATGTTGTCAGCAGTTTACACTATATCTGTGTCTTGTTAGCCGGTCAAATTCGAGGAATTAATTACGAAAGAGAGAAAAGTCCATTGCGTAGATGAGACCTATAAGTAAAGCTGCAAGGCTGGAGACGCGAGCTGAGGCTCCATTTTCACAAGCAGTTGAAACTGTTACATCAAAAGTGGCTGAATCAGTTAAAGAGCCATCCGAGACTTGAACATCAAGAGTATAACTTGGTTTTGCACATCTATTAAGCATCTTTGCTACTGTAAGGTATGTTGTTCCCAGGAATGATGTTTCAACGCTGAAATCAGTGTCTGTGTTTCCACCTGTAAAATAAAACAGATCAAATACACATATTTTTAAAGAAGAATCTGTTTATACTTTTCTTTTTTTTCATTTTTTTTTCAGATAACAAGCAATAATATATGTATTTCACAAAGTTTATCAAATTCACACAAAATTTGAAATAGATAATTATTAATTATTTCCAGAGTGGTTTTTAAAATAATAGTCCAAAAAGCATAGCGTTATAACTTTAAATGCGAAAAGTTTTACTTCCAATAACATTTTATTGTTGCTAGCAGCTTTTTTTTACTGTTATTTGGAATAAGTTACTATAAATGTTTCATCTTCCCGTTTAAACTTATTGAAATACAAAAATAATTACTTTGTATGCTGTACGTCAAAGGGTCGTCGTCTTCTGGATCGGTTGCTGTAAAAGAAGTCACTGTCGTACCTGTAACAAATAAATACATTATTATCATTATTGGTCGTACAAGAATGGCAACCCTTTCTTCTATACATTTTAAAGTAAATTAACAAATTCACTGTTTTCTCACAAAAATCATACCACAAAAAATGTGAACAATATGTTTTTACATAACTAAGAAGTTAGAACTCAAAATAGTGAAAAATAAAAGAATAATCTTATTTTAGAGTAAGTTATAGTAAATATTCATTAAAGGCACATTATGCCTCAGAAATCAATATTTTCTATTCTTTAGACAGGTCAACATGTGTTTAATCATGTTTGAATAATGGATTTGACAAAAGCAGCGCTAAATGTGAGTTATGTGTAATAAAGGTAGCAAAATGTAAACAAAGTAGTATTTTGACTTCCATACAAAATACTTATTCACTATAATTATACCGATTGCCAACAAAGCTATAGAACTTTGCAAAATATAGTCCATGTATATATGGCAAATGAGTAAAAACTGTGAAAACTGTACCAAGTATCCGAAAATGAAAAGGGAAATAAATTGGAAGCATTTCTGAGGCATAATGGGCCTTTAAAGGAAACATATTTAACTGGTGTATTCTATAGCCTTTTTATAAGAAAAACGTTGCAAATACCGTACATTACGAAAAAAGAGGCGAATTTATATGATATTTGTTCGTTTTGCTCAGTAATTTGCCTTTCAATCCATAGCAAGGGAACCAAAATTTCAGACTTCTCTCAAGTTTAAACAGTGTGTTATGACTTATATCGGACATAATTTTGAGGTCATTATACTTTTTTCTTTAAAGTACGTAGGGCGTTGATGGAATTTCAAAACTGACCCCGAGGCGAGAAAGATATGATATTCATTTGATATGATTTTTGGACCGCTAAAATGATGCTGATTCGATGAGATTTATGATGATTAATAATGATTTCTTTTGGAACATCACGTGGTGCAAACGATGAGAGTTCATTAATTATAATTCATAAGGTATGAAATCAATTTAATTATCTCATTGAAAACATAGGATTTTCAAATGACTCATGTCTTAAGCTAATTTAACATAATGTAGAAAGACCAATATATAAAACCTGTATGAAACACTCGGCTAAAGTAAAATGCTAAATTCACTTGATATGATTTACTTACCTACTGCAGAACCATCTTTCGCACATACGGAGTATCTTGCAGCTGAGAACGAAGGAGCTTCATTTTCATCTTGGACTAAAACTGACAGTGTAGCTGTTGCTGTTGATGGCAAGCTATCAACAACTCTAGAAAAAATAAGAACTAAGTATGATTCCAAACTTAACTCATTTATAATAACAAAAAATAAATACAATGTGTACATTTAAGTGATTTTTGTGGATATGTGGGTTTATATACATGATATTGGACATTTTTGCTAAATACTATTTTGATAAGATTTCTAACTTGGTGCTCAGTTGTTCTTGTTTTTTTTAAAATTTATTAGTGTTAATTGTTATAACTACTTTCTATGAGAATTCTATCGGCTTATTCGGTTGTTCAATATTTGCATATTTATATTTTCTTCTTGTAGCCCTCGATGCTTTGCCGTAAATAATTGAATGTTGTTAATGTAACAATTTGGCAGTCTGATTAAAAACCAGCTCCTTAATAACGCTACGCATTAGGATCTAACATCCACCCACAGATAGTCGCCTTCTCGCGATCTTTTAAACGAGCTATCCTTAATTTGAAAGCGATGCCGTTTCTAATTTTAGCCCTTGCGAAACCAATACTGTGTAGGTATTTTTCACGATTTTGAGAACAAACATGGCGATGTCCATATAGCCGGCAGGTAAATTGGCAAAAACAATCTTGCCAATTAAAAATTGACACTATTATTTCAAGTTAATTTGTTAAAAATTACTTCAAACCACTTTTTTCTAACAAAAATCAACAATTTGTCTAACTTCCTCGGATAACTGTATTTTGATACTTCTTCTTATGGCTATCTGCAAAACCGGTTTGATTGCATAGCTAAAAATGTTTTCTTGGGAAAAGGCGAAACATATTAGTGGTTATCAGATCTACATGAAAGAAATAAGTAAATCTGAACTTTAGTCAGATTGACAATTTGGCTACTTACTCTATAGTTAATACGTAAGTTTTTGTAGTCTCATAATCAATCGTAGGACTGTAGACTGAAAGTACCCCGGTTGTTGCTCCTAAAACAAAAGGAGTGTTTCGCGTTATCAAAGTAAACCGTGTAAGAGTTTGACCTGTTGTTACAGTTGCTGCAACAGTTATCACTCTGTGACCAGCAGCTACATTCTCATCCAAGTTTACACTTCCTACTCCATTAGCTGGAGTTGTAAAGGTAGGGACAGCATCTTAAAAAAAAAGAGAGCACAGTTCATAAGTGTTCGTAAGAGGCTAAATTCTACTTATGAGCCTCTAACTAGAAATTTATTTAAGAAAGTGGTTGTCTGGACAAGTATTAAAGATTTTATCTCCTTTAAGATTGAACTAATACCGTAAAAGAAAAGGAAGAAAATAACGCTATACTCCAAGGCGGTGAGTAAACTTATTTACTCATTCCCACATAAACTGAAAAATGAGCTTTCTTGTATATTAAAATTCTATTCTATTCCAAAATTATCAAAATCTCGACATCTTAAATATAAAATACATGTATTACCAGTACAGATGTCCTAGATTTTTCTCTATGAAAGGTTTTCCAGATAAAACCAGAAACTAAATTTCGCCATTTTCGAGACAATGGTCCTTAAATTTGTGCATATGATATGGCGATTTTATTTTGTCTCTTAGAATAATAAACTTTCCATCATCTATTCATATTAACATCTGCGAATGGAAATCAATCATTGAACTGACAAAAGTACATCTTGGAAATGCATCTCATTTGAAATCTCATTTTCAAAATGAATAACCTTACAAAATCCACAGATCCATACAATGGACGAGTAAGAAAATATGAAAATTACTGACGAATTCTTGATATTGCCTACTTATTTATTATCCAACTGTCAAATGTGAAATAATTTACGTCATCTCATATATTGACAATTTATCAAGGACTCGTAAATGATTTTTCAATTATCCCGTAAGTGACCAAGTCTCAGGATGTTATGGATTGACAGAAATAAATGTTAATACTTTTAATTATATATTCATAATGATACGTATACAGTATTTATTTATGAAATGGGGCAGATATTCTTTTGGCAAGATTTGGCCATAATAACAATATTTAAACAATTGAACTGAAAATAGTCAAAAAAATGAGTAAAAGATCGTACAAATGGTATCTGAAGTTCAACAAGATTGCTAGATTTGCATATAAATCCAATTTAGTGTAAACGATTACAATAGAACGAATCAAAACAAATAATTTTTCTCATAGAAATATCACTTTTATTGAGAAAATCACTGTTAACTTTTAATTTTTATTTTCGCTCTGGTCATTTACGGGACACATCAATCTTAATTATTACTATTATCTTATAATTGAACTGCAAAACACATATGGTATGTTTGTTTAAGTGTCTAGATAAAGTAAAATATTTTATATCAAGATGCATGAAAAGTCATATCCCATTTAAGTAAACATCTATGAAAATGTTATAAAGTTTTCAGAATGTATTTATTTAAGGACAAATACTAGCTAGGAAGTTCTCACCATATCTGCTCCAAAGAACCTTGTATCTTACAATGAATACAATATATACTCCAATATTATTGCGTTTACACCGATAAGCGTAAAATTAAAATTTGCTATTACTCGAAGGAATATTCCAAAATTAATTTAACCATTTACGGGACAGTTCAGTCAGATACGGGACAGTTCAGTCAGATACGGGACAGGTCTGTTTTCATGTTTGCTTCATTTTTGTGATTGCAATATAAGTTTAAATGTATTCGTATATGAAAGTTGGTATCCATTGAAATCTATAATAGTCAAAACGTCTAAATATCAATTAAAATATCAAAATTATGATTTTTAGAAGCTACCTGCAAGCGAAAGACACATTTCAGATGCATATTTTAAAAAAACATGGATACGTCTTTGTTTTTGTGGAAGAATATTATTCCAATAATACCAACGTCCATTAACAAGTTGAAATAATTTAACAAATCCAGCAGAATAAATCACAAGAGAAGGTGAAAGAGAGTGAGTCCCGTAAATGATAGGCTCGTAAATGTTGAACATTTCTGTTTGACAAAGGAATTTTATGAGAAATTGTTGAATGGTTTACATGAATGACAGAATTTAAGCAAGACAAATATCCACTCTAGATATCTCAAGTATTATAACATTGAAATTATTGAAAATATATTGTAAAACGCATGGTATTTAAGAGCCTCGTAAATGATTTTGTAAAAATTACGCTTGTAAAATCCAAATTAACGTGAAATTCTTAACAAAATGGTTGCACATACTTCTTAATTTCATATCTTATGTTAACTATATATACTACTGTAGACTTAATATTACCATTGTATAAACCATTAATACGTTACCATGTATGATTAACATTGTTTTGCAATTAAGGCTAGTAAATGATACCGACTTTGGAAACAAGCAATTCAAATTTGATTTTGAGAAAATTAATTCTAGCAATATCAAAAACAGTTTTATATGTCAAAATATGCAATAGAATAACGAAAATAAGCCGTGTTTACTGTTAACCACGATTATTTGTACGAAGATATGTTCAATGAGACATACTTTGATTTAGTTGAAGACATGCTGTTTTTCATACCCCTTCCTTGCAAAAGCGACTGTCACTAGCAAATCAAACCAATAAGCTAGTAAACTTGCGCTCAAATTAAATCATTGATGCAGTACCAATTGTTAAAACATTTTACAGGAATGTTCGGGTTTATATGTTTCCACCAATTTTCATAGAACATTGAAGACATGGAATGTGAGAATGTAGAAACAGAATAATTAACAATACGGGGATAAAGTACTGAGCAACACTTCACAGTGGATACCTCCTGTTATGAGTACACATTGAGTACATATTCTTTTAAAGAATTCTCCATTGGACTGTCACAAAAATTTCAACATAGCACAGACAACCATCATCGGCCTAAGTAGTATTCGATATCCAGGCCCAACTCTATTGAATTAATTTTTTCGCTAGTGACTGTAAGTGAATTGTAAAATATTATACTTAAGTCCAATTTTACGGAACATAAATCACATTTTAAGAAACAGATATTCACAGAAACAATATTTTTCGTTAGAATGAATTATGTATTTATATAGTAACCTAAAACAAGGATACATATTACAATCTCTAACCCTGGCAAAAATAAATAAACTATGCAAGTTTAAAGTTTGGGGTTCAGGGTTAAAAATACGAACTTACTTCGAAAATATTGTAACGAAATGCTGAAGGCCTTATTTGTTATTGGACCTGTCTTGATTGATAAATAACAATTGTTCATAAAGTAGCATTTACCTAACTTAATAAAAATGATGCAAACTAATAAAACAAGTACTAAGCTGGAATATATTTCTAAAATTAATTCTTACTATAAATGTTTTAGTTTAGGGTACATTGCAATTATGGGAAATACTTAAATACTTTAGCATATAGTTCAAAAGCCGAATATTCTACTACAACATGCAGTGAAATAAACCTTGTAAGTCTTATTCTTAAATAAAAATTTCGGCTAGGATTGTTTTTTTTTCTACAAATGTTTAGTAGAATGAAAATTAATTACAAACTAACCTTTTATTTATTTTGTACTTATATGCTTATAGCAGCGTTGTTTCTGTTTTTTCCTTAAAAAATAAATGTCTAATTAGTTATTCATCTTCGCCTTTTAATTTTTAAATGTTATTTTCTGTTTATAAAGAGAGTAACCTACCTCCAAATTTGAATAGACAAGCCACCAACATTAAAGTTGTAATAGACCAACGCATCATCTTTATTCCTCCTGTAAGATTTATTTGAACCGTGTTAATTCTTCAAGAATTGCTGGCAACCCTGGCTCATGTCTGGTGCGTTCATCTTTTATACCATTCCTCTGTTGTTGCCGGAGCTTGGTTTCCAAAATACATAGAAACGTGTGGGATATGCCTCACAATAATTAAACATGATAGTGCACGATTGAATAAAACGGTAATAAAAAATGTAGGCCCAATTTTATCGTTATTTTAGGAAAAAGAAAACAAATACTTTTTTGTAACAATGCCATTGGTTGAAAGCTACTGACCTCATTTAGAGAGGCGTGGATAATTTACTGAATGACTCGTCACATTGTATTGCAGTAAAATTTCATCAGTTTAACTGGTATCATGTATGCATGTTCGAATCGTTAAAAACGTGGACATGCTCCATAATTATACAGTATATGATTTGCGTGATTAAACTATTTTGTAAATACGGAGTGTTTAAAGTTTGAAAATAATATACCCTATCTCGCAAAATTGAAATATAGATTATGTTTTGGAGTTTCGTGCTCATAGTAAAATTGGTTACATTTATTAGGTTAGTTTAAGTTTTTTAATCCCACTGTCACATATTTCCATTTGCCGTATTTGTTAAGCGAAGTCTTTGTTGATATCTTCGACAAAATGGTTACAAATAAAAGATCGTCATCATTAACACACATGTACACTACAAGTAAAATGATAGTTATTATACAAACAAATCTACGACAGACACCATTGATTGTTATCGATGATAGAAGAGTTTTAGAATTATTAATTAAAAATTGTCGACATTTTCTTTCGTTTGTCGTTTTTGTGCATTAGTATCTGTGCATAATTTCTGTTAAAGTTAAAAATGCCTTATTATTTGACGGTATCCATGACATTTTAAGTTGATTATTTTTAAATCATCAATATATCCGCTTATATACAAGCCAAAATAAAAGGAATAAACAAAAGATTGATATATATTCATTAATTGTACTATTCTTTTATCATATCTTTTTTTTTTTTGGTTAACAGGATTACAAAGTGATCAAACTTTTTTTATAATTGTTTATCTTAACTAAATGTACATTTTATTTACACTTTCAACGATTTGAAAAAAAAGAAGTAAAAATAAGAAAACAAGAGGGCCAGGATGGCCCTGAGTCGCTTACCAGAAACAACTACTTTTCTTTATTGGAACTTATTTTTTTAAATGAATTAACTTGAAAGGCAAGTCCTGCTCTTTCGGTAAGTTCAGTTCAACTTTAACTTGCCCCTCAAGTAATTTACTTTCACAACACTGATTTTTATTTCTTCATAATAAACAATCTTTATTCACTACATAAATTGAAATATTTTGACATAATATTTTGCAAAGACCTATTTGTTAAAATATCTATGTTGCAAATGTGTACCTACGAGAGTATGTAGAATCAATGAAGATTTTTAAAGTTTTTTCTATTTTAGCTCTGTTGACCCCTAAAAGGGGCCAATTGAAATGGCATGAGCAAATTTAACTGTCACTAGGATGCTACAGACTAAATTTGAGGTAAATCTGCCCAGTAGTTTCAGAGAAGAAGATTATTGTTGACACATGACGCCGGAGTATCCGCCTTTGATATACTAATAGCTCACCCTGAACCTTCGGTTCCGGTGAGCTAAAAAAGTAAAAGATATGAAACAAGACATTTAGTTTTGTGCACACGTTTTGAAACTAACAGATGACGAAGAGATAAAAGCGGGTTTCTATAATTTCTCATACATATTTTTTCTTCAAAATTTCTTGTTTTTCTTCAAATTAGAAACCGTATTCCCTCTTTCAAAAACTATGCACCAGACCTCCAATTATTTCTGTACATATCAATAGTGAATTATACGATACTTGAAATCACATTTGATAATTCCTATACATCCAGTCGCTGGTTTTTAAATCCTTAACCTGATGACGACAACTGAATTTACCCATGCGACCCATGCAGATGTACCGGCTGATCGTGGTTTGCATTTTAGTCAGTACATATCTTAAATGATAAAATGTTTTGTCCAGACAGAAAAAAGTCCAATTAAAGATATTAGCGTGGTAAAGGTTAATTATATATAATACGTACTTGCTTTGGTTGTTGATATATTAAAGTGTTTACTTACCTAACTTTCAAATTGATAAGTTAACTGAAGTAGTCACAAGTAACCCGTCCACTCATCCTTACGTAGAAGTAAATCTTATTTGACACTACTTAGCAAAGATAATTTAATTTAGGTCTTCAAAGTCCTTGAAGTAGTATCTTTTATATTTTAAAGCAGACCGACTCCAGTTTTATTCTGTTACAAAATTTACATCAAAATTTTAAGTGTTTGTTTGGTAAAATGTGATCAGACGTTCACAACAAGATGTATCAGAATTTGCAAAAGTACATGTGTAATCCGTTGGTAACGAGGTAGATATATATATAAATCTGTAGATAATGTCACGTTTTGTTACATTATGTACAATGGTGAATATTTTTTTAGATTTTCTGTAAACATATTTAGTATCCAGATCGGTTGATGATGATCGCAGCCCTTGATGATGATAACACATTTGAAGTGTAAGAACTAGTGAAAATTGTCTAAATCTTTCTACTTTAACCTTTTTCATATGCCGATTCTAATCCTTGATCTATGCAAACATTAACGATATAAAACTGCAGGCTGTTTTTTAATTGACAAACTACCATCGTGTATGTTATATCACTAGGGAAGTGGAAATTTCGTCCATTTGCTTTTAACTACAAAACTCCATCTCCTTTTAAGTAAATACTTGTATTCTTTAACTGTTCATTTGTTAGTTAAAAATCACATTTTGGTAACACTATTCTGTAAAAATAATAATAGCGTGTCTTTTGGAACTGAATTAGTACATGATGATTGAAAAAGCTCAATTCAAAGTGGAAGCATGCCATCTTAGATAAAAGGTATATCATTTCCTTAAACAATGAGGTATGCCGAACATTTAGGTCGGTTGAAAACAACTGCGTTAAGCATTTCAAAACATATATTTTCTGTACTGTATACATTTATATCTTAGAAATGAATAAATAGAGAGAAAGTAATACAAATATCAAACGCAAAACACACATGCGTTGTCCTTTACAAATATAATACAAGTATGCATATATACACATTGTCAGCAATTGATAAGGACTAAAATGTATTTTTCAAATTTCATTTCCTCGACGTAGACCACCTTGTTCAGGAGACCATTTTTGTCTCCACTCCTTTCCATTCATCCACTCCTTTCCATTCGTATCACAAGAATGAGAATGCAGGTTGCAGTAATAGAATAAGGTTTTTTTCCAGTATAGGCAGCTCGAGGTATCCCAAGTGTAGTTGAAAAAGAATACCCAGAAGACAGTGTTCGACACTATATACGTTGTCCCGCGGACTCCAAATATTGGCAATTAGGAATTTCTAAAATTCCAAGTCAGATGTCCCGTTGGGACTTTAAATTTTTTTAATAAAAAATATACTAAACAATTAAAATTGATCATTAATCAACTTTAAAGTATTCATTTAAGAAGGTAATATCTTGCAAAAAAAATATTAAACATGATAAACTTACAAAAAGTAAACATAGTAAAAATGATTTGTTTTATATAGTTTTGTTTAATATTTGATGTTTACTATGGTGTAAGAATACTTACATTGTGAAAAAAATCGGCAATTCCATAATCAATAGTTACTAGATTTCGGACAAACAAATTCGGATGCGTGATTTTTAAAAAAAAAATATTTTTTTTAATTTATCGATTTAGTGATTAAATTTTAAATGCAAAAATAGTAATTTGTTTCTTGTCTTTCTTATCATGAAATTGATATCATTATGTAAAGGAATTATATAAGTTAGGAATTATGAGCAAAAATGTTTTTTTGCAGACTATAACTCTTGTCTTCTCTTGACTAGTTTACACTTATTCATGTAGACCTAATACAGCAATATTAACCTAATACAGCAATATTACAATATCAAATGAAAATTACTTACTGGAATATATAATGCATAACTACAGACAAAGGGAAGAAATAAATTATATCAATTGAAGTCAGTAATATTTAAGACATATTTTACAAGACCTATAAACACTTCGATTTTGTAATGCTGGAAGGTAACATAAAGGATACCCTTCCTTCATTACTTAATGAATGTTATTACATATGGGCTATGATCAACATCCCAAAAAGTAGAACGAAAGAAAAATAAAAATAGGTTGCATATCTATACTGATACACAAAGGTTATTGCTATATTCTTATAATTATTTAAAAAAAAGTCAGGGACTTCCAACTTAAGATTCAAAAACAGATGTCCCGTTGGTATTCCTGGCTGAAAAGTTAGTGTCAACCCCTGGAAGATATTGAATTAATTGATGTATTATCAATATTGGTGTGTCAATCCAAAAGTCTGCCTATTCCGTTTCATGTGGCTACCAAACCGTGTGATTCTCATTCCACCTCTTAATTAACAATTATTACACAACGCGTGTGATTATTACACCAGAATTCTTGTCTGCGTTATTCTAGCAAAGTGAATTGGTCTATAATAGAAGATCTGTAACACCATACATAAATGAGTATGTTGATAGTAATTATTCAGTATCAAATATGAAAACAAATCAGAATTCTATATAGATGTTGTTCATAAGTGTTGAATACATGATCCGATATGACAGATGAATAATATAATAAAGTGTTCTGGAATATAAAAATATTTTTCATCATGTTAATATCAGATCACTTTAGAACTTTTTTCAAGAAATATCTTATAAGAATATCCAAACGATATATTTCTATTGTTTTGTCAATATTTGAAATACTTATGAAAAATATGCACATTATAGACCAATACACTTTAAATACCTTTGCACAAGTTTTAATTTAAAACAAGTCAACAAACGGTAAACATTATTTAAAGGCAAATAGGAGACGCATTAATACATGTACATTGTCATATTATTCCAACTGTCTGATATAGAGAATGGCTGAACATTTCGTCTTCTTGAAAAATTATTTTAAGACGAGACCTATATTTACTACATTTCTAGAAACATACTCATATTAAAAACAAATAAATAAATGATTGAATCACACAGAAATGAA